TGCTTCAGTGGTCTTATTGTACCTTCCCCCTATAATTGAATACAAAATGTTGTCTTTATATGCACCTCCTTCTCAGATGTATACACAGGAAACAATCTATCCAGAGGAATGTGACTTCTGGTACATGGGGCTTACATTTGAACATTTCAGTCACAATCGGTCAGCCTTGTGTCACTCACCTCTGGCCGTTGCCATAAGTGTATAACCCGTGACAGCCTGGCTGAACCGCAGTTAGCTCGCATCGCAATGAGACAGAAAGCCAAACGGTGATTTAATGGTGTGTACTTTGGAGACGCCTCTGTTCAGTGAAAACTGAAAAAAAGGAGATAAGATAACCCAAAGTGCGTTTGAAACAAACAAAAGCAAAACATGCAACATCTTGAGTTACTGTTTGTGATGTAGTGTGTTTCATGGCAACATTAATCCTAAAGCAATCAAATGTGAGCAGCAGTTCAGGATTCAGCCTGTTGGTTCAGAGTGGAGGGAAGGAGTTTTGTTCTCTGCTAGATTTGAGAAACCTTTGTAATAAAAGAAATGGTTGGTCCTCCAGGCGTATGTTGTGCAGCTATAAAAGACCATACAGCATGTTTAACAATTACTAATCGTGTATGTTTGACTGTCTCTCAGACATTTTTCTGGAAAGTTCTTAAGACTGAAATCATTTTTTCCTCCACTTCAGCCATTACTTTGTTTGACTGAAATATGGTATCAAAATCAACCTGCAGAGACTTGAAACACGCGTTTAGAAGTGGTTCTGTAAATGAGTCATCTATCACAGTGAGTGTCTGCTTTTATCCATTGATTGGAGGATCTGCACTGCATTACAACAAAATAACTAATAAAAACAACAAGATGCTCGTGGGTGGATGAATCATGTGCATGTTTCAGGTCCTTGCAATTTAAATTTCATACCTATGGTTTGCTGTAGAAAATGGTCAGCCATAGTGTAGTTTAGTATTTACTGTACTGATTTTTGTGGGGTGCAGCCTTATACACCCAGAGAGATAAAGTCACTCTTAAGAGATGACGGATGGTGCTACCATGTCCTAATTGACCCCTGCTGCTATTGTATGATTACAGGGTCAGTGTTATATTAGAGACTAGGTATATAAACTACAGGTTTGCATCTAAACAGGGACTTGGTGTGTTTATATGCAGCAGCTGCAGTGCAGGTTTCAGGGGATCAGATGAGCTGCTGCAGGGAACTGGTGGCAGCAGCAGAGAACTAACAGAAGCTGAGCAGCATTGTATTAATAGCTGAGGGAAGGCCTCAGTTTAGCAGTGCTTGTTTTCTTAATTACGGTACACCAGATGGGCGTGGTTGTATAGAGACTATTCGGATGTCAGTCACAGAAGTTTGTCTTTTATTACGTCATGGTGGTATTTAGTGGGTAATTCTGCATGTCAAACAGATGATCTATGTAACTGTGGCTAATGGCTGTGCCACCATAATGAAGACAGCTTTAATTGTTGAAAAGGAGGTCGGGTGCTGCCTCCTATATGCAACTATTAAACATATCTGCAAATATTTGACTCTGGCTTCTCGGTTTCTTTACTGGATTTCCTTCATAGTCGACTATAGAACCTCAGGCATGGCTGTTCTAACGTCTTAGGGGGCCCCATATTGGCCCCAACACTTAATGCCCTCATGGCAGCTTCATTATTTGACCAGAGACCAGCTAGAGGGTTAATGTGAAACACCAGCTTTATTGGAGTCAGTTTGCTGTTATTTCATTAAATTACTTGTATTAAGGAATATGCACTTACTGAACCTTACTTTGTTTATATTTCTGACTTGGATTTTGAATACTTGTGATTGATGTCTTTATAGTTGTAAATATATTATTATATTTGCACTCTTTACTCCTTTTGTACTGCAACTTCTGCACAACATGAATACAGTTCTATCTTATCTTAACATAACAATAATGCAGGACCTGCCTTTGTTGATATTCGGTGTGCAAATTCTCAAACAAATTTGTGCCAAACTTGCAGGCAGTGCACTTTTGGCCGCTGGGGGAAGTTGCTTGCTTTGCCTGGCTGGTAATTCAGACTTGCCTCACTGTGCACTGGTGTGGCCAGTAGGAGCACAGTCAAATACTAAAGGAGCCTTGTGGAAAGCCAATATTGTTTAAATAATCTAATCTGAATTTCTTCATACTTTTTTTGTTTTTATGTTGCAGTTAATTTAGAGTGATTTCAATGATGCAGCCCTCCCTCTTGCTGCAGTGACCTACGGTTGTGGGGCTGCAACTAATAAAAATGTTCTTGTCTAACTTGTTCTCATCTTTTCTCCTGATGTTTTGTATCAGTGTAATCACGTATTTGTGTCCTGCGAAGTTTAAGCTCTTTCTCACGCACACACATTTAATCATCAGTTATCACTGCGTGTTCAATTAAGTCACTTTTATGAGAGAAATTATCCTGGGTTCAAACATATGGCTACATGTCAGGCTGTTCTATTCTATTCTTTCGCTGTTTCTTCAATAATTCAGGGGAAGTGGGGATTTCCTTACGAGAGAAAGACTAGTTCAAATATTTACCGGCTATAAAGCGGCGTGTTGAACTTTGCCCTCCAGGTTCAGGCGCGTTCCCGCTGCCCGTGCGGTTTTTTATTTATAACTGGTAACATTTTACGACACCGTGCGCGCTTTGTTGTTGTTACCAATCACCGTGAGCCTCGAGTGCGCTTTGTCCTCACGTCAAACATTTCCAAATCAAAGCGGATAGCTGCAATTACAGCCAGTGCGCATGCCCGCTCTGAGTAAACGTCCCCCCCCTCCCGTGCACGCGGGCGCGCCCTAGGAAAGAATTTGAAGCCGCGCGCGCTGCTGTTACTGTTGTGACTTGTTATGAATGGTGAACCTCAACGACAAAAGAGCTTCAGTCAACCTGTGACAGGGTTGGAGAAATAAATTTAAAAAAAGGCAGCATATGAAAATATATGGGGATTAAAAATCACCAAAACCCACCTAAAGTCTGCATGAACTGTTCAGTGCTACAGTCTCCCTACATGTTAAAGTAAAATATAATAGAATATAGAACCACTATGAGATCAATTCACTAACAAAGCAACCAAATGTCAAGAAACTTATAAGGGCCAGTAACACCATGGTGAAATATATATTGTAAAGGATATTCCAAAGCTAATAGATTAATTTCCCCCAAAGGCTCCATTTGACTGTACACACAAGTCAAGAGGAAATATTTTTAACGTGCTATAGAAGGATAATTATGAAAAAGAAACATCATTAAGTCAAAAAACTCAAGTTTGAGTGCCAGACACACACTGGTAAAATATTATAGGGATATTACGTAGCCATTAGAAGAGATAAATTAACCCAAATAAAGCCCCCGAAGGCCAAGAGAAACTCACTTTTTAGTGTCAAACACATTAATATTAAAATGTAGGACACATTTGTCCAAGCAGGCATATTATAGGGACTAGAATAATCACAAAAACCAGCAGGTCAAATTAAACTTATACTTTTGAGCGTAAGACATGCTTCAGGTTACAGTAAAAGTAGTATTATAGGTACTTTAAGAGACATAAAGACACGTTGAGGTCAACACACTTAAGATAAAATATTATAGAGCTTCTATGGGAGAGTAATTACCAAAAAGTTACAATAAGGTCAAGATGGACTAAGTGTCACAGGCACCCTTCAGTTTATGGTCAAATATTTTTAAAGGGCTATAATACAAAAGGGCAACATGGTTAAAATAAACAAACTTTTAACAAGCCTATTATGTTGCGCATTCATAGGTAGAATAAATGAATATTAGTGTAGAAAATTTAAATGGCAACAGTAAGGAATTAACTGTACACTGTATTTTCTATTAATATTAGGATGGGAGGGTTTAATAATAAAGTTAAATCTTACTATTATGCCTATAGACATGGTTCACATTTGAGTTTGTTGGTCTAAATAACTCGTGCAGTAATTCCTCAGGTTATCATGAGCTGTTTTATTAATCATTAGAAGCTTTACATTTGCTGGTCTATTAAAGTGTTGCCTCTTAATCCCAACATCCTCCCTTCACAGAGCACTATCAGTCAAAGCACACAATCATTACTGCTACATTTGTGCTGCGCGCTAATATCAGCCTGACGGTGAGTAATATAGATATGGGGATCTCTGCAGGTGTCAGGAAACAAGATATGGTATTGATTGAATTTATTTTGTTTGCACTCGGACAAACGAGCCGCGGGATTGTCGCCAAAAGGAGGAATATACAGTTTTAGAGGAGTTTGATGAATTGTGCGTCCTTTTTATTTTTTTTGGTTTCTGCAGCTCAAAAGAAATAAATTCAACCCGCATGAGATGCTTTTTTTTTTTTTTTGTTTTGTTTTTTTTATCCTGTGACTAGTGTAAGGAAATTGAGATTGGATATAACATGCAACACTGCACCACCTACAGTATGTTTCTCAAAATGGGAGCCTGGTTGAAATGTAATCTTGTATTATAGTGTGAGAGCAAAATTAAAAAACAAAACAAAATCTATGTCGACATGTTTCTATATCATAAAATAACACGCATCAGAGGCTCATGTAGGACCATTTTCTGCACTGAACGGTGAAATTGTGATTACCATATAACAGCCCATAATAAAGTAAGGATTTAGTCAATGATCCTATTAATTCCTTTAAATTTTTGATATTAAGGTCTGAAAGTTTACAAGATGCGTATAAACTCTGGATGTATTCCCCTCTACAAAGAAAGTTTAATTTGATGTGCAATAAGGGGGGGAAAGAAGCAATAATGCAGGAATAAGCTTCAGAATTAACAAAATAAAAAAATAAAATGTCGTTAAAGCCCAGATAACTATTGGCTAGTCCCGTTAATCCTTAAAAATCTTCATATTCCCGAGATAATCCTTTTTAAACTGAGTGGATCAATAGGCTGCCGACATGTTGCCAAGTTATTTATTTTGCTCCTTTTTTGGGGGGGAAGCCTCACTGCGACTCCTCGTTAAACAAAGACTCCTCTAAAACATACTTGAAATAAACCTCTCTTTTCCTGGAGTTTATTCAAACAAACATGTTACCATAAACACATGAGGACTTTGAATCACCTTTTTTTGTATACAGTTTAGGCTAATGAACTTACTTCTGCAAAGTCTTACATTATCGTACAAAACACGTTGCACTCAAGTTAAACATGCGGGGTTTTTCAGTTTCAGCAAAACAAAATGAGGAGGGGGGGAAAAAAAAACATTTAAAAGTAAAGTCACTGAACGGGAGGCGTCATGGAGGGCGAACGGGCCGGTGGTATCCTGCATAGACGGTTAATAGAAAGCACACAGAAGCAGTATAAAATATGTACAATATAGGCTAGATTTCTTTTTTTTTTCTGGATTCGTGATATGCTCGACAGTATTCGTTTTTTTTTTTTTCTTGCAATTCCTTGTTTTGGTCCAGAACCCCCCCCTCCCTCCCTCCCCCCTCAAGTCAGTCTTTAAAAGCAAGCAAAGCACAAAAAAAAAAAAACATCCCATCGTGTTTCATATGTTATGCCTGTATATATTTACATTTATACAGTATATGTACAATGCAGCACACGTCTTCATTAAAAAAAAAAAAAAAAGCCCTGGACATTTTAATTGCTGTGCAAGTTCATTGGTAAACACATAAAACCCGCATAATCCATTTTTTCTTTTCTTTTTTTGTTTGAAAAATGACTGCAACTAATCCAGTTTAGTTGTCTTTGATTTTTATTTTTTTTTTTTTTTTTTTTCCTCCAATCCGCAGGTAGCCTATAAGCTCAGACACCGTGTCCGTTTATCACATATATAATTATTTATATTTGTAAAATTCAGGCTCCGCGTTTGGCCCGTCAGCTGTTGTACTGACATGCGTTCAGGCTGGACCCGGGGCTCTGCAGGCCGCTGTATCCAAAAGTCGGATGCTGTTTGGATTTGAGTCTGAGGGTGGCCAGGCTGGAGTTGCAAGTGTCCCGGTAAACGCTGTACGGAGAGCCGGGAGGCCCGTACGGACACGCGGACGACGACATGGCCGAGTTGATGCCGGACGTGCCGATCCCGTTCAGGTTGCTGATGTTGTTGAGGCCCGGGGTGGGCATACCCGGCACGGCGGAGTGGCCCATCCCGGACGCCATGGTCATGGAGGAGATAGAGTTGGGCGCCGAGAACATGGACTGCGAGGTGAGGGGGCTCATGGAGTTGAAGAAGGTGAAGTTCTTGGTGGACAGCGGCGCCGGGGTGAGGCCCTTGTTGGGCCAGTTGTTGTAGGTGTAAGCCGGGTACATGTCGTCATAAGGCTGCATGAGGCCGCTGAACTGCGGCAGGTAGCTGTTCTTGCACAGGTCCATCTGCTGGTTCCGCTCCCGCTTCCTCCACTTAGCCCGGCGGTTTTTGAACCACACCTGGAGGGAGGGGACACACACAGACACAGAGAGTTAATACTGTGGATATACACAGCTACTATAGTGTGGAGCAGTCACTCGAGGAATGAGTAAATAGTCAAAATTGTGAATTTCTTTCTCTCATAACATGAAATACAAAAAATTTCATGTGGCACAATCAGGAAGACTTGTGTTGGAATAATAGCCAACTTTCCATTAAAAATAAATGTCATAAATTGTAGTTAATACTGCTGGAATAAGAATTCTGAGTATCAGACCCCCAAAAGTGCTGTTGGTTTCCAGGTGTGTTCAAGTTTAGGCAACAGAACACACTGAACTAAAATACAACGTTGGTTGCTATTTTATTTGTTACTCCAATCAACTTGCATATTGTGTTTTCTTTAAAAAAAATCAAAATTTGAAGCTGCAGTTCCACATTGACGGTTCTTTGATACAACATCTGTTTAATGTTCTCAGATGTCTAAAGTGTTGTTTACAAGTCTGTAAATACAGCAACGAGGGCCTTGACTATATTTTTAATTATGATCATTTGAGGAAAAACGCACACAAAGGCTTGTTTACCTCCTGGTCAAACTTTTCAGTTATAGGCTCCATAAAGTTATATATTTATATGGTCACAATCACCTTGTCCCCCTTTTTTTTTTTTTTTTTTTAAATATGGAAAATAACACTTTTTTCCAAGTGAAATGTATCCTCAGCTTTTGAATGCCCAAGTTTTGACTCATTTGTATTTGAGGTGTTATGGCTCTTTTCTTTTTCCCAGTGGACACATCAAACTTGGTGCTAATTGTCTTTTCCTACTAAAATCCTCACTGTCAGTCCAGTTTCCTGCAACGGATCCCAAATTTAAATGAGAGGCGCTGCTCTACAATCCAGACAAACTTCAAATTCATCCAGTAGAATTCCACCTTAATTGGCTCTAATGTTTGAAAACAAAATCAAAAGTGACTATATGGAAGGTGAAAACTGTGACCCTGTCTTTAATCCAAACTGCTGCTTTTTATTTGCACATGTTTAGAATCAGCTATTTATTAAATAATTATTTATTAAAGCCACATTTATTTGGAGTTATTTGCGCACAAGAACCATAATTAACGACCATAATGACCAACTTCTGTCCACAATCCTCGGGCATGAAAACTTTTGAAAGTTTTTTTAAATTCAGTATTTTGCGTGAAAAATTGCCTTGTTTTGATTTTATTTTTTTTAAAAAAACCTTGCTTAAAATCTTTATTTTTTTTAATTCACAGGGGTACAACATTTAAATTAATCTTAATAATTTTGTTTATTCGTTTAACAAATGACAATTAAAATAAATTATAAATGTGGCCCCTAATATACATGTTTAGACTTGAGCTAAATCCAAGGATGTGTTGAAATTAGTTTATTATAGACTAGTATTTACTTTAACCTACTTCATGTCTAACAATGATATTAAACTAATTCCTGAGTTGCATGCGTGTTTTAAAATTAACGCCTGCGCGCGTGTGTGTGTTTAGTATGTAGGTCAGACTCTCCAAAATAAAACCAACAAGTTTACATCATGAATCACACACACAGCGGATGACTGTAAATGAATCAGAAAAAGTGCCTCTGGATATCTTCACACCTTATCGAAACCTGACAAAATATCCGTTAGTCGGCACTCTGCGAGTCATTTTTAATTCATAGTAGAAACAGTTTACAAGTGGTATCATCAGACGGGCCCGCGGAGGCTATTTATAGCCGTGCAGGGAACAGGGTGCTGCGGACAAATTGTCTACAAAGACATGAGCGATGTGACAGAGAGCTGGGGAGAAAACACACGCAGGCTGCTTTTCACAGCAGCGATTCAGCTTCCTGTACCGAGCATAAAAAATATATACTTTTGTTTTAACGTCCTGTTAACAAGCAAAAAAACCTAATTAGAGCGAATTAAACAATGGCAAAATAGCTGAGCCCACATATCTCAATATCTGTCAAGCTTGATTAAACACTGGTGACCTTAAAAGGTCAAGTCCAAACACTTAAACCTGTCAAAACATTTTATTAAATGCTCAGATATGAATCAGAAATATTCAGGCTGCGCTGTCACGCCATGCTCGTTACAGTGTTTTCTTTTTATTCCGCTGAAAATAAAAAGGCTGCACTGTTTGAAAATCACCCTCCGTGGCCCCAGAAATGAAAATCCAGCACTCTAAACTTGTTCAGAGACTTTTTTCCCTGCACTTTAAATAGCTGTATGCATTTTTTACGCAATTTGAGACGGTGGATTTTGCAAGGACGGGACGCCAGGCGCCAGTTGCTGTAAATGAAAACCAACTGCAATTGTTTTGTGTTAAACGCACATTTCTTGCATCCACTTTTTTTCAGAGAAAGTAGCAGCCAGCCAGTAGCATGCCGTTTTTACTGTTGTGTAAAAACAGCATATAGTAATAAGTGTCCATTTTTGTCAGCTAGAATAAAAAAACAACTTACTGAGTCAATTATTTTCTACTTTTAAAAGGGCCCTATTGTTACAAGAATTCCAATCTCTTATGATTAAAGTTGGTAAAAAAAAATAAAGATTTGGTTCACATGATTCCCCCCCTCCAAGTTTTTAATGCATCGTCCTGATGGTAAAAAAAAAATCCTCCCTGAATAAATATAATCACAATGTTGTTCCTATTCATTGCACAGCTCCAGGTAGATTTGGCTGCGTGAACAGTCCCCTCCACGGGGACAAATAAGGGTCCAGTCTGGTGGTGATGTCATCAAAAGACAAATCCCCCATTGGCTCCATTAGCAGCGCGGATACACCCTTTCAAAAGATGTCATTTCCAACACATCCAAATAGTTATGGACAGCTTTCATTTCTGCTAAACTTCCAACATGAAATATGTGAACATGAACGTGGGTTTTAAAACAGTAGCAGATTTTGTCCTTGTGATATGCACAGGGTGATGAGAATTACACACGTTTTTAATAATGGAAGACTTACTTTTTGGATACACCGCAGCTGCCAGTCAGGGATGACTGCAACTTAATATCTGTAAACGCTACTAGTTTACGTTTTTGTCAACGGATTTTCTTCGGCGTGTCTCTGAATTATATCACATTTAATTTCTAACTGAGTTGTTTTAAAGTCACTGCAGTAATTTACAGGACCTCTAAGTAGTTCAGTGCAAAACCACACTGTAGACCTCAATGCCACATAATATTACAATGGATGTTGATAGCTGCCTGTCCTGGTATGAAATATAAATGCTGGGAGAACGACTCTTGACATCCGCAGTGGAGAGTCTTATTAAAATAGATGTGTTTAGGCAAATCGATTATCAGTTTTGCATCAAAAGGTTAGTGGGAACAATTAGTTACCATATAAAACGGAGCGCACCGATCAAATAGTGTGACTCTGACATTGAGCAAATTTTAATTTTTATGTTAGAATTACGTTTTGTAAATGTTGTTTATTTCAGGATGTTTAGCTCAACGTTTCATTGTTTTTGTTGCTGGAGTTATTCCACGTATTAAAGGTAATTAATTAAGAATCTTCCAACCCAACAAATGCACTAAAGAATGCTATGATTTTGTCAAATCGTCTTTACGCACGTATTACGCACACTTTACGCACGGCCGGCGGCCTGCCTTTTGGCCTCTTACCCGGACTCTGGCCTCGGTCAGGTTGGTCCACACGGCGATTTCCTCCCTGGTGCTCATGTCCGGGTACCGGTTCCTCTGGAAAGTGGCTTCCAGCTCTTGCAGCTGCTGGCTGGTGAAGTGAGTCCGCTGCCGCCGCTGCTTCTTCTTCTTGGGATCGTCCGCGTTCCCGTCATCGCTCCTGTGTTCAGCGCTCCTCTCCTTTTCTGTGGAACATAAATCATGGTGAAATAACTCTGTACAGTTTCAAAGTGTTTTGAATAGCATGCAAATAAGGGTGTTTTTTTGCAATGAAGATGTTAGTATTTACACCTGTATTTGTCAAACGTTTCAGACTGAAATTAAGTGCAAAAAAATAACTAAAAAGCTTTAGGTCAACTACAGAAGAGGCCTGTCAGCATGAAATATACAAAGCCAAAGCTATAAATAAAAAATATATAAAGCTGTCCATAAAAAATAAGCCTCCGAAGAGAAGTGACGGCTTAAAGCCAAATATTTACAAACATGTCTGGGAGTTTTTGTATCGATTCTTTTAAACACACTTTAGATGTGCTTCGCTTTACGTTGATAAATCAATATTACTTTCTTTACGACGAGGTCTGCCCACTCTTATCTCCCAACTGCTATCTTTGTATTCGTGTCCTAACAAGATTGCCTCATTAAACTGAAGGGTCAACACGTGCAAAGGTTAATCACAAAGAGGGGACAGTCTCTCTTGAAAGTTTGCCAAAAATAAAAAGCAACTTAAGACTTAAAGCCACAACATCATTTTTAATTTAAGCCCCATAAATAATTTTAACAAAAGCAATGAGAAATAAATGAGTCACCCATATTTACTATCTCTTACTCATGCGAAACCGAGAAAGATCTTTTTTTTTTTTTTTTTTTTTTTTTTTAAAGTGGCAAAGTTACAGAACAAAAAGCTTATCCGACAATTGTTAATACAGACCTTCTGGCTTTCAGTTTAGATTGGAGAACAGGCCCAATATTTATAGTTTGTTTTAATGCATTTACTGACTGCAGGCCAGGCTGTTCTGCACATTTTTCCCTGACAGACCTCGGGATCCTGCCAAGTGTTTGGTTCAGCCAGCGCAATAAACAGAAATGGGGTGTAACTGCACCAAAAACTGGACTATTTTCCCTGTTCTGTTGTATTAATGCACATTTAACTGGAGAGAATTTACTACAAATGGCTTTTGATGTATTTTATCCAGGTGCATTTTGCACCGTAACATACGGAAATAAATCGCCATCGCAGTGAGAATAAGCACACTGGGCACATACAAGTTACCTAAAATACTGTCTCATTTATCCGTAGCCTTAAACTGCAGGGATGCCTCTGTGACAGTCCCCCATAAACGTGCTTATGGAGACGTAAAATAAACTGTTATTGCACTCAGAAGAAGGAAGCGAGTTGCTAAAAGCACTCTGACTGTGTACCTGCCAACTCTGTGTCTGAAGACTCGCTGCTTGAGTTCTCTAAAGTTTCTCGACTGCTGTTTGAAGTTCTCGGTAAATGAAACGCGGGGGCCACGTCGCGGGGCGGCGGTGCTCTCACTGCCTCTGCGATTCTGTCCAAATTCATCCCACCTTGAAGAGAAGGATGCGTACAAAGAGGAAACGGGGGTGAATCCTGGGGTGCACAAAGCTTTCATCAACAGCTAAAAATCCACCCGTTGCCAGACACACGCCACGACATGAAAGGATGAACCATACAGGGAGACTCTCCACCAAGAGTTTTGTTCTTCCACGAAAAAAAAGAGACTTGGAGGCAAACAACATTCACACAGCCCCCTTTTTCCCCTCCTTCACAGCAGTGACAGCCCAGTGCGCTCTCCTTCTCTCCGCTACAGGGAAAAGCTTCAGTCCGCTGTGTCGAGAAGGAGCTCCGGCTCTCCAACCAACACAAGAGACCCACCCATTTGCTGCGTTTAACCTCCCCAAAATGAGTCCCACCCACAAAACCTGCCCGCTGCAAGAAAATATCCACCCAAACAAGATATTCAGCCTGACGTCAAGTTAAAACAAATGGAAAACGGTGCCAATCAATTCATTAGCCGTTTGGTTCTGTCTCATGCAACAGCAGCAAATCCTTCAATCAAGTGAAGGTGGAATTAAAACATAGAAAGGCAGGCAATTCCTACCAGGAATGTATACCAGTTTGTTAACTTGCTGATAGACTTTAAGGCTCAGTACCTGACTGAAACCTTAACAGAGACATTTTTTGCAGCGTTCATTACTTTTTTTTTTTCAGTAGTCCGGAGCGCGCAATGCAACGCTTTGCTCTTTTCAGGAGTAAAATGGGCCTTTTATTCGTGCTGGCATGTTTGAAATGTGTCCAGCGCAATGCAGCTGGGTGCGCTTATACACACAATCCCCAAACACAATGTATGTCTCGGATATGTACTGAGCTGAATAAACATTTGCCATCTAACACGGGCCTGCCCTGTTACTGTTTCCTCAGTATGAAAAGTGCACGATGATATGAAGATTATTGTGTGTATGAATGACAAGTGTCGTTCTATCAGCTCGTTGTTTTACCGCAAATAAACAATCAGGACCAATAACTCCCAGACAGACCAGAGCTCTCTACTTAAAACCTGGACTGCAGGGGCCACTACCAGGCTGTTTCTACCAAACAACTTAGACAATAATAATCTGTTGACACTTTCCACAAACTTCTTCTAAACAACATGTGTGACTGGATCCCAACCTCCCAGCACAAATCTCATTTTGATTGATGGTCCACTAATATGATCTGATTATAGAGAACCTGACTATGGCTACTAATGGGGCCTTTTAACTAACATGTTGTTGAAGAAAATACCGCAAAATGTTGTACATGGTCAGGAGAATGGTACACAAGGCATTTTCAGTTTTAACAATGCTTCTTTCCAACCCAGAACACCTGCTAACCCCAATTCTGCTGTCCACGTTTGCTTTTTAGACAGTTTTGCTGGCCCTGACGCACACATGGCAACCAGTGGTGGCCAGTCGCAGGCGCCCGGGCTTTATAGGTGTTTTACGACTGTGGAGACTGGTAGTATTTCTGCAATCTTGAATCCAAACCCCACTCAGTTCCCGTGTTATAATTTAAATAAAGTGGGGAAAAAGTTATAAGCTAATTTGAAAATCCAAATTTCAAATCAGATGTTACAATTTCAGGCTGTTTCCTCCCCGGGCTACAGTCTATCCTCCCTGATACGCATGCACAGTGCTTGCATTGACTCACAGCGCAGGTAAAGTGAACAGTAACCTTCTGAACATTAATATAATTGTGTGGAGAACTACAGAGCTTCCTCTAGATGTAGACTGATACAGTGTGTGCTTTATTGGGGCAAAACGTGCAGCAATGCAGTGAGAAGAATTATTACAAACTTCTTTCTGTTAGAAAACGCAGCGGTGCCTGCTGGTCACAAAAAACGGAGGTCAAACTTCTACATTTGAGGTCACAATGGCGCCAGGTGAGGCCTTTTTGTAATACGCTGAGGTTTAAGTCGACCTGGTGCATCTTTGCAAGTCGGGTACGGAATTTGTTTTTTAATTCAGACCAATAGGAGTTAAGTAATGTAGTTTTGTGTTTTTATATTCGGACACATCAACGTGTATTGGGCCTATTTCAGCATATACTTGCTCTCTGTGCATGCTCTTTTTTTAATGTGTTTGCGCATGTGTAGCCTGCAACATTACGAGTTTTAATTGTTTACTGAAGTAGACTTAAAGCCTTAAAATTGTATTTCTTACACTCAAAATAAGCTAAACATTCAGGCAGAAACTTTAACACATATAAAGGGTCTTTTTTTTTCTTGAATTAACTTTTTTTTCTGCTAAAAGAGTCAAACACAACGACGGAACCAATTTCTTGAGGAAAATCACCTCCGAGTTACTAAAGCGCCAAAGGACAGATGTTTTGTTGTGTCTCTGCGCAATTACGCAAGTGCCAAACATGAATGACGTAAACATTTCTTTCATTGCAGACTATTAGCTGTAAGTCTCTCCTGCAATATGAGACCAGCTGTCCTGCCTACTTGCTGTGGCTTATATCCTACATGTGTCAGGGAATTGCGCACCGGCTTAGGCCTCACCGTCTGAGACTCGGACTGTCACCGGCGCCAGTCTCGAGGATTTTCGGCCATTGTATGACGGTGACTTCTGACATGAGATCCCCGTCCGACCGGAAAGCTCCCCCGAAGGCCCTTTCAAAAGACAATTGTGCAAGCTTTCAACAATCACTTGCCTTTTTCCATATTTGTTCAGTCTCTCTCCGCACAGACCCTGTTCAATAGAGAGTAGGGCTCATAGAAGGGCCTGTGCACAAATATACATATTCATTCATTAAAATTAAGAAATTCAAACAAATCTAGAAATTGAAGTGACCAATGGTTTTGATGTACATAGCAGAATCATAGACTATCCTCCAACATGTGCAGCCATAGGCCTGTAACCAGTTCGACCCACACATATAGTCTACTGTAGTGCCCTTGGGCAGGAAAACGACTACCCCCCTGCTAACTCACTTTCTGAGCTGCAGCCAAGTAGCCTACGATAAATTGTTTTGAAGAGATATTTGGCGTAGAAAACGGACAAATTAAACTGCGGAAGTGACCTCAAGGACCTGGTCCCCTCCATCTTATCAGCAGGTGGTATTTACTATGCAGTTCAGGAACCTCGAAAGCGTCGCCGGGTTAGTGGGTACATTGTGTGTGCTGCTCTGTCAGGGTCAATGTAACAGTTGAGTTCTAAGTCATTTTGATAATATATGAATATTACAGCAGCAGCACTACAGCAGATACAATCACAATAAACCCACTGACCCTTGAAGTCCCCATTGGAATATTAAAGGATTTACAGCGCTATGGAGATTTACCATGGAGGAGTTCCTCTACCTTCCTCTGTCCTCCAGCAGATATTACAGGCTGATAGATAGGGGTAATCTAAATACCCAGCCTCCTCAGCCTGCATCCCTGCCTGCGTCCTGCTCCTCCTCCTCTGCTCTGGAGGGCACTTGCGTGTGATGGATGAGTTAAAAAGCCTTTCCATCCGGCAGGACAGGTTAAAGGCCAGTGGCAATGCAAACACTCATATTTTTCCTCCCAAGAAGTGAAAATAAACTCTGCGAACTCCGTTAATCACACACCAAACACATAAAAATACAGTTCTGAGGTGTGTGTGTTTTTTTTTTTTTTTTTTTTTTTTACTGTAAGGCAACCAAACAAAGCCAAGCTAACCACGGGGCCAAAAGAAAAAGCATAGAAAATTAAAGCTGGCGAGCAGAGTCAAAGTCAGGACAGCAATGGAGATGTAACCGGACACGGTGGGTAACTGGAGAAGGACAGAGCTGATTATTTCCTTGGTGATGGTTTCCCTGCTTGGTCCAAGGCCTGTTTGACCTGGAGCCTGACAACCAACAAACAACCTGACAGAGGGGATGCAGGTGTAAATAAAACAACCTCTAATGGCCATCACACGAACAAAATTGTAAAATAAATCCATAAAAATGCCATAAAATGTGCAGGGTTTTGTCCGATTTTCTATATATAAATCTGTTTGTTGAATTTAAGCCAGTCCAGCGTGCATGCATACATCATCAATTATGTTTACTCAGCCCAGCAGCCGTTTACTGTGTTTTTAAAGTAAATTAGAACAGGTTGATAACTTAAATTAAGGTGGAATTAATCCTCAAAAAATACATATTTGTTACACAGAAAAAGACATGTGTCTATTAGCAATATAGATTGCACTTTTTAACTTTAATAAAATTTCATTGGTATGAATTCTCCCCCAGTACAAACATCTACTCAGCAGTCCGAACCTCTTACAGCCAGTTTGTCTTTATAATATTGTTTCCAGTTTGTGTGGTGCTGTTTAGTATCTGACCTTCATTTTAAAGCTGCTTCATTGTTATAAAAGTGTATTTCCTGAAAGAAAATTAGGTTTAACAGGACAGTCTCCATAATGTCCAAATGTCTAAAAAAAAAAAAAAAAAAAAAGGTTTCACGTCTCCATTTTACCCTCTTTCCGTGGTTTGTGATTAAACCCAAGTTTAAGGAAAAAGTGCTTTTTTATTTGTGCTATGAGAAATCTTTGCATGTGAACTTCCACTCTTGGAAACAGTTTTCCTTCTGAATAGAGCTTTTTGTTGCTTGCTGTCAATCTGGCTTGATGTTTTTCCACTTTTTTGTTTTTCAAATGCAAAACAACTCACCGGGAAATGATTATCAACGGAAACCAGACACACACAATAAAAAAGATTACTACGGGGAAATAAAACTACATTGTTGAAAATTTATTTTCGGTCTGTTTTGATTTTATTTCCGCACGCTTCCATTTGCATCTCATTATCTGATATTTCCGCATATCAGCATGTAAATGCCACGCACATTAATTCACCACATAGGAAACATATTGCGTCTAAAAACGTAAAAGCAGATGCCTGTGAACACGCACAGCCTGTGTGCGGCGACATTCATCAATAACGAGTTCTGACCTTGCGCCAAACCGAGAGGCACCGCAGGTCCGTGCTTCACACTACAGCATCACTTTTGCTTTAGTTTCTAGTTATAGTATCAAACTATGTAAAACTCACATTGTCACAAAGGCAATATCATTATTTAACCGAACAGAGAACAAAAGACATACCTGGGTCTCCACAAGAAATCCCATTCTTCGACAGATTCAGTTCCATTCCAGTTGCCTGAAAAACAGAAGAAGAAAGTTGTTTTTGTTTCCCACCACCTGTATATTAAAGACTGAAAAAAGTCAAACACGTTTCCTTTCTTCTTTTTTACCAAATAGTGTTAAAATTACAATCAGATTTTCTGCGGATAGACTTAATAAATTAAAGTTAGCTCAAAAGCAACACCTAGTCATCCTGTAATACAACGTTGCACCACCACAGAGAACTTCATATTCATCTGAATTTTCACACATTTTTATTTTTAGAAAGAAACATTTTAATAATTATTATATAAGGATAATTCCAAGGCAGTGCAGCCAAAAAAAAAAAAAAATAAATAAAAATAACTTCACTTAGCCAAACTTTTCACCAGTACCTTCACTCTATTTTAATATGAAACACACAGATCTTTATGATTTTGGCCCTCAGTCATCAACACCAAACACACACACACACACACACACACACAGACAGACACACACACTCTAATAGCTCCTCTTATCTACAGGAATCCCTTTGCTGCTTTAATGTCCTCAGTAAATCATCACTCAGCTCCCCTCTGTCCCTCCGTGTTCGCACGCTTCAGTGGCGCACCCTCCTGCACTTTCTATTCATTTGGTCCATTTAAGGCGTCAGTTAGAGAGCAATGCAGAATTTCATTGGAACACACTGGAAATATTACTGCAGGCTGTAGGCTATATCCGGCGGACAATGATGCTCAGTACTGACTGTATTTTAGCAGCCAACTGATATTTTCTACAGACGCTGCCGCTGTCTAAAATCTTTGCTGTGCGTAAAGCTCCATCCACTCAGTCCTCGGCCTTCTCTAACGGTCACTACCGACCCCAACTAGCCGGCAACACGCACTGGCGTCGGCGCTTGTCACCATTTCATTTTCTCCATCATTCTTAACACGGGCTCGATGTGTGTCTGAATCACATTTGCCAAAATCTGAAGCGTAAAACGGCCAAGAGCGGGATGCCAGCCAGCCTTTTTTGACCGATTCCCCGTACAGACGAGGTGCGCGTTTTACTCACCAGTTGGTTCCCAGCGGAGGCAGACGACAGAAGAGGAAAAAAAAACGAATAAAGCCCTCAGAGTTTCCCCATGCAGGTGTTCAGTAAATCCACTTTATGCGTCGGCTGCGCTTAAACGCTGCGTCCGCGGTAATCAGCGCTTTGGTTGAGTCTCTGCGCCGCTGCCTTGGTTTTCTTCACCAGCGACCTGCAGCACGCCTCGCGGTGACGTCACCACACCGCAACCCCTCACTCCCCCCCACCCCCTCCCCTCTCCTCCCACCACCCACCGTCGCCACCATCTCCCACCTCCCCCCCAGCTGTCATCCTCTTTATCCTCCCGCGCCTTCACTCTCCTCTTCATCAGTTTTTTAATCGAATTCCGCCACTTTATCACCCTCACCTGACGCCACCCTCTTCTTCATCCCCATTATCTTCACCCCTCATTTTCAGTTTTCCGAGCTTCATCTCAAAAATGTATTTTCATCCCCGTTTCTCAATCCCAGTATGTGAGCAACAAGCGAGGGAGGTTAAGATTAAAGTATAATAATATTTTATAATGACGCTCATAATAATAATTAATAATAACAGCATTTTTATTTCAGTTTATAATTTAAAAAGCAACTCCGTTTTGTACTAACCTGCTCATATTTCCGACAGCGGCTGTGGAGAAAAACAGTTTCGGTGTGTGAAAAGAAGAGTTTTTATGTGCCCATCGTTTGTGCAATCCTCTTTTTAAACAGCTTTTTTTTAAATATAAACTCACAGGTTGTTTTTGGACTTTAAAAACTGTTAGGCAGCTTGAAAAATAAGTTTGGTCTCACCCATGTAGAATAAGAAACACAAGTCTGATATTTTACTTACAGTCAGATTTTAGATATTTATTTTGGCCTATTATAGATCAACAACAATTTGAACTTAATTGATCACACGGGCTTCTGTTCTTTGTCATTTCACTTTGCTTGTTACACATAAAAAAAATCCCAATATTTGACTCACTGATGGCAGCAGTTCATTTCTACAAATTGCCTAATTTACGGCAGGCCGTCTGTGTTTGGGTGCGGGCACTAATAATGTTTGTCTTCTCGATAATTCCTTGATTCTGCAAACAATGAGCCGTCGGGTGATTATATAAACAATTAATTGTTCACATGCTAATATTTACACACAGGTTTAAGCAAAGTTTTGTTCTCCTGTTGATTTTTACATGAATCAAAACATTTTAATTGTGCCAATATTTTACAATATTTTTGTTCTGTGGCCTAAATGCTGGGACTGAATTAGAGTTTTTGTATTTTTTTGTACTTTTTTAAATAAAATGACTAGGTAGATTATTAAAATACTGTGAAAAACAAAATGCTCAGATGGGAACATTCAGGCCTGTGTGTGTGTGTGTGTGTGTGTGTGTGTGTGTGTGTGTGTGTGTGTGTGTGTGTGTGTGTGTGTGTGTGTGTGTGTGTGTGTGTGTGTTTGAGCTTCTGTTGCGGCAGCGGCGGAGAGAGAAAAACAAACAAAACAAAAACGACGGAGACAAAACGCTTTTATAAACCTTTTAGATAAAGTAAATAAAGTGATTGTATTAATCAGGTCTTAAGAGGGGGTATTAATACACAGAAGCCCTAAAAAAGTAACATAGTAGCTAGGATGCAAGTAGCCGAGATCTAGATTAAAGTAGATTCAGACTGTAAACGGCGGGCGGACTGGATCACTGATTAAGACTTTTTTAATAAATGAAAGTGCTTCATGGTGGCTAGAATAAAATAAGATAAAAATAATTGAATTTACTATCTAAAAGCCATTACGTGTTTTTTTTTCTTTAACGCATGTCCATATCAACATCTTGTCGCACAGATGATCTTTGAATAGAGACAAAAACACACACACACACTCAGGCTGGATGTCAAACGTCCCCACAGCCAAGATGTGCAGCCCACGCACAGTCAGTCCCCACCGCTTAAACCACCGCAACAGCGTCTGTGTGGCAAAGAATATTTCCAGCTACATACTTGCTTTACAAGCTTCTTCTTTTTGGCCTGAGACATGGGAGAAAGTGTGAAATTTGTCCCACCCTTACACTTTCCTTTTTAACTCGGCCAAGAGCTGCGCACGAAGCAAAGCCCGGCTCTGAGAGAGGGATCCTGGAGGGATTAATGGGGAACTGCGGGCCTCCCTCCAGGACACGGACAGACCTCCTTCCCATGGTGCCTCTCGAAGACAACGATGGTTTTCTCATCTATCCTCACGTCAGCTGTTTTCTTTTTTTGTGTGTGTGTGTGTTTTTTCAGGAGCTCACCAGGTTACTCCTGTATCAAAATGGACGTGTCAATATTGGTGCTGCACAGGTGGTATGCAGTGATGTAATAATCAGGGCCCGAATCTGTGCAGAAAAATCCACAAAACCACTTTACATTTGTCTGTCAAGCGCTTAGATTTACAAAAAGAGCTGCTATTGCTTTATTTCTATGTCAAATAATGTCTAAATAATTTCTAAATGATAGCAGAAGACAATAATAATTTGCAATAAAAAAAACACAGTTATAGTATCTGAAAGTTAAAATTAACAGTTTAATTGGACCAGATTATGTAAAATGAGTCCATTGCTGCAACTGCAAAGAGTAAGCACCTCATGCTTTAAAACCTGCAAGGTCATCCTGCTTAATTGGAGCCACAATGCAAGTGTGTTCTTGTGACTCCCATTAGGCCTTAATACTGACAACACTGACCCCAGCTCCTCAGCATGCAACTGTATCCACAGAACTGTAATGATAGGCAATATCAGCCTGTCTACCTGTGAGGCCTGCATTGCTAAATAATGAGTCTGAGTGCACACACACACACACACACACACACACACACACACACACTCGCTCTCTATAATTAGGCAGTAGGAAGGTAGGTAGGAGAATGCTGTGATTACTCAACGAGTGACTCGAGGAGTTAAGTAGTGCCCTGAAGGTGAGGCCGTGGCCTCATCTCTCCTGTGTAAATAGGTAGAGGGATTATTTAGCCCGTTTGGAGTGTGTGTGAAGGGGGAGGTGGTGTGTGTGTCTGTGGCCAGGGCCTGTCTGATGGTCACCCCCGCAGCGTAAATAGTTATTCCTAAATAACAGAAGGGCTGATACATACTGTGGAAAGGTGGAAAACAAGCTCACACCCAGTCAGGAGAAGAGGTTGGATATGTGTGTGTGTGTGTGTGTGTGTGTGTGTGTGTGTGTGTGTGTGTGTGTGTGTGTGTGTGTTTGTTGCAGAGTCATGTGTGTTTTTCTGAATCAGATTCAGAATCAGCTGTTTTAACCTGGTCTAACCTGCAGAAAAGAGGGACTTGCTGTTCAACCGGCGACTCCCAGCGAGCTCTCCCATCCAGGACAATCATAATAAAGCAGAGCTGGTGGCATTAGTATGTAAGGCCTGTTTCCGCTGAGCGAGGAGCAGAGAAGTGCTTTTGAACCGTATGTCGTCCAGACTCTGTAGAATCAATCAGGAGGGTTTTGCTAGCTTGACACTGGGCAGCTCGACAGGATGGAAAGCCTTTTTGTAACGTCGCAGCCTTTTTTCTAACTCTGAGCAGAGCCGGAGAGTCCGCCTGCATGTCAACAAGCCAAACACCCCAACCAGCCTGCCCAGACGCTCAGACAGATACACAACAGCCTGTTAGACAGCCTGCCAGCAAGCCATGATATTTACTGCATAAAGTTTCCACTACTATGGATATATCTACTTCAAAACATGTGAGCGGACAAGGATGAAGTCACCCTCTCATCACTGGGGCTATTATGAGGAATGGATGCTTCCCAGTTGCCTTTTTTTTCTTTCTTTGAAGCAATCCCCCTTGAAGTGTGTTGAAAACGCACATGTCACAGTTTCCAATCGGCAGTGAAATTAGTGATGTTTTGATTGCGCAGGGCTCGGAGATTACCAACGTAAACAGGTCTGGTGCATAGATCATCATTTCAAGAGGAGGCATCATCCCCTTTTTTTTCCACTTTATCCAAACTCGGCGGGCCTCTTTGGCTTAGTGCTGATGAGAAGCGGACGTCCAGCTTCCAGTTTTTCATCTGAGTATCAACCTAATGCTGGCTAAAGTGATGTTTCCTTTTCGTAGAACATTTTATAATGGCTGGCCACCAAAAAAACTGGCTGCTCTAACATGACACCTGGACAGAGCTTGACTAAAAACATCTTTCCACCACTTCCTTTGGTTTAGTAGGGAAAAACAGGTGAGTGTGCCCCCCCCACTCACCTGTAGCTCAGCTGAATGTGCGGGTATGCCAGGTTTGGAGCCAACCTGCAGGCCTTTTCTGTATGTCAATAATTATTTCATAAATTCATTCATATTCCTAGTAATTTCTCCAAAGCTGCAGACATATTGGTGGCTCCATTAAGTTTAAACACTGAGTTTTAGTCTAGTGGAGGTACCAAACTTCCTAAAAGATGCCAAATATGTCAAGATGAATTTGGGGCAAGATGATGCGCCAGACTTGCTCGTGATACTGTCAGCTGCATTTTGTTTTCTTCAAATAAATAAATAAATGTGGGAATTTCATGGGAAAACAAAATGTTCAAGTCATATCTAAGACTTGACTAGAAACACATGTACTTTGTAATTTAGCCACAAATTCTTTGGCTTATAAGCATAAAATCCATGACGACAAACAAAATCTACAAACTCTCTACTTCTTCTTCGCTCTTTGTTCTTGTACAGGAAAAATGAAGACAAAAATCTGATCAGCTGGACCTGCCTGAGATTTCTAACAACCAAGAATAATAATTTATGTACCAATTATTGAATTGAAAACCAAAGCTGCACCAGGCTGTTGTGCATGGTGGTGGCTCCAAATGGCAGCAACAGGTAACTGTTTGAAAACTGTGTGAACCTCAATCCCCAAATCTTTAAAACCCTGTAATGAAACATCTTTAAACTGCGCACAGCAACCTCGTGTTCATCAAGCCGGTGAGTCTGAGATCAGTTTGGACCACTGAAGAACTAACAGTCTAACATTGTGCAGATGTAACAATGGGCACTATTAAGAATCAATTTTCCATTTCCTGCGACTTGATTTCCTTCAACTGATTGAACCTGACACTAGAAGTCCATTTGGGCTGATTAATCCAATCTGTTGGGAGGGAGTTCTACTTGTTCAATTTTCAACTGAGAAGGGATAAGATGAACGTGTTTTCGTAT